GGACAGCCACCTCCCAATTGAAAGTACCCAATAAATGATCATTTTATATATATATTAAGCTTACTGATATTTTAAATATTATTGTGGGTTTCAATAGAGAGTAGAAGGATCTTAGTAAACATCTAAGATTTGAATACTTAAATGCTTTTTAAATGTGTTTTTTGGTTGTGGGACAGCAGTTTGCACCAATTCTGTAGAATGGCCCATATATGTTCCGTATGTAAAATAGAGTATAAACAGAGGAAATATGTCTGTCTGGCATTGTCTTCCTGTGTTTCTAACAGGAAACAGAGAAGATGATTGCAGAGCTGAATGAAACATGGGAGGAGAAGCTCAGGAAAACCGAATCAATACGACAAGAGAGGTGAGAACTGGCACAACCCAACAGTTATAACACAAACTGTTGTAATGGACTGAATTAGGATGTCATTTAAGGAATAACTTTACCCTGTGAATGCTAAGACACGGACAGAGCAAACTGACCTAGATATATGGGCTGAAAAGTTGCGTTTTACTACAACCGACGACTAACCTGCGTCTGTGTGAGAGAACGATAACTCTCCACACCAGCAGGTGGCAGTAGTCAGTAGACATTCAAAAAGGGAATCTGAAAGAGTTGGGATGCGGATATACTAAAGTGTAAACAAAGCAGTGCTTGCTTGCCATTTTCACACCAGTCTCGCTCGATTATGTGGTTTGCTCACTTCCATTTTTACATTTTGTGGATTAAATAGTGTCAACAGTGCGGAACACACTGTAAAAATTATGCCGACAGATGCTAACGACGATCTCACACTAGATGGCCAATATATGAATGACACTTTTACCATTAAATATTGTAGTGTAATTAATACACTACCAGTCAAAAGTTTTTGAACAGTTTGTTTTTTAAAGAATTATCTTCTGTTGACCAAGCCTGCATTTATTTGATTCAAAATACAGCAAACGCAGTAATATTGTGAAATACTTTTACTATTTAAAATCGCTGTTTTCTATGTGAATATCTGTTAAAAAGTAATTTATTTCTGTGATGCGCAGCTGTATTTTCAGCATCATTACTCCAGTCTTCAGTGTCACATGATCTTCAGAAATCATTCTAATATGCTGATTTGCTGCTCAAGAAGCATTATTATTATTATTATTATTATGTTGAAAACAGCTGAGTAGAATTTTTTCTTCTTGATGAATAGAAAGTTCAGAAGAACAACATTTATCTGAAATAGATATCTTTTGTAACATTATAAATGTCTTTATCATCACTTTTGATCAATTTAAAGCATCCTTGCTGAATAAAAGTATTAATTTTTATAATTTCTTTCCCTCCCAAAAATGTTTAAAAAATATATACAAATTACACTGACTCTAAGCTTTTGAATGGTATAGTGTATAATGTTACAAAAGCTTTTTATTTCAGATAAATGCTGATCTTTAGATCTTTCTATTCATCAAAGAATCCTGAAAAAATGTAATCAACTGTTTTAAATATTAATAATGATAATAAATGTTTCTTGAGCAGTAAATTAGCATATTAGAATGATTTCTGAAGATCATGTGACACTGAAGACTGGAGTAATGATGCTGAAAATACAGCTTTGATCACAGGAATAAATTATATTTTAAAATATAGTCTAATAAAAAGCAGTTATTTTAAATAGTAAAAATATTTCAAAAT